GAGAGAGAGAGAGAGAGAGAGAGAGAGAGAGAGAGGAAAAGAAAAGAAACAAAATGGCGAAAGAGATCTCAGGAAAGTCGATTTCTTATTCATCCGGTCGGGAACCATTTTTAAGGAACAACGGCGGAATATTAAGTCACCGAATACACTAAATACAGTGTACCAACATTGCCGATCTCGTTGAATTTGTTCCTCCTTTGTGACAAAGAGATCCGGATCACAACATTACCAGGAGTAACCAACAATTACGCTCTTCTTTCTCACTGGTAAACCACTCATGATGACATAAATTAAATATAAACAAGTATGCGTGCAGGGATGAATTTTAATTTTTTTTATCTTTTCGGCGAATTTTAATATCAATCAACTTTAATATTTATCTTTATTATGTCTTTCGATGAATTTCGTATAACAGCGAGCGATTAACGTAAAAGGCTCTCGTCGAGAATTGGATGGAAGCGCAGTTTCGATTGGTTGATGAACGTAGTTTGTCGGTGGGAAAATCGGTAGATCGGTGGATCTACAATGGGGGGCCACGTGTCATGTGTCTACGTGTCGAATGCAGAGTTTTTCGTAAACTTCCGGGAACGGTTTGACAATTCACTAGTTCACAATGAATCGCAATAATTCAGTCCGCGAAATGCAAATGCATATCTCGGATCGATTTGCGATTGCAAGCCGATTCTCGAAAATTAATCGACCGGGCCAGTTCAGCCGATTTTAATTTCACAGTTGACAAATTGGACTAGATAATGAGATGAAAGCGCCGCAGGAATTAATTTTGTTTACGTATTTCAAGTTACATACAGGGTGGACTGAAAATCACTTTCTATTAAATTAAATTAAATACGTAACTTTTTCTCGAATTTACTTTTTTACAAATTGCGAAAAATTCAAAATTAATAAAAATTAGTTTCTTCTTACACCTTGATGTTTTATTTGAAAAAAAAAAAAAGAAAAGAAATAGTTATGTAAAGCTCGATAATTATTCGATGATTCGAATCGATTGACTGAAAATTAATTTGCACATACACGTTATATTACAGAGTGAGACGTCTGCAAATTAATTTCCAGTCGACGATTCGAATTATCGGATAATTATCGAGCGTTAGTTCGCCATATTCGCTATTGCA